TATAAGGATCCCATCCAAAAGCAAATATGAAGGGCAGCGCGGATTTTTGCGAAACAGTTTAAAACAATATTCATGAACACCGCAGTGTGAAAAACATTGTAAAACGATAGGACCCCCCCAAGAAAACGATATCCCTCGATTTCTTACTTAGCTGTTCATAAGCAATTTATGTAGCTGCTCACATGGTTCTTGCCGGAGAAGCGGAGTCTGGCCGTTGGGGAAGTGGGCAGCCTGCGGGCAAAGTCCAAAGCCAGATGCGCAGCAAGAAGCAATACTCCGATACGCGGCAGCCACAGAAACTGTGCTTTCTTCTTGATGTGAATCCCAGGCATCGGCCCGGCGCGCGCGAGCCTTACAACATAGCCGCCTCACGTGACCCGTGTGACCTGCGCGACCGTGACCGTCAGATGAACCGAGGCCGGGCCGGGCACGTGGCTGTGGTTGTTGACCGCCGGCTCTTCATCAGTGGCGGAGCCTGCGGGACTCAGTGCTCCGAGGAATTCTTCCAGCGATTCCTGAATTTCCTCGCAGACAGGTACTACGGCAAAGGCAAGTGGTACATCCTCGATACAGATGCACCCCCACTTATTGAAGTGGCAGCGCCGCCTGTTTGCGCCGACTCTGTCAGGAGAGTAGTGGCCCTAGAGACTCCCAAAGAGACTCTGAAAAGTTGTATCAACTTGTTGTGGCCTTGAGGTCATGAGCGAGTACCTGAACAAGCAAGAGTTCTCCGACGTCAGCTTCCTCGTTGAAGGTCGCCGGATCTATGCACATCGCTTGGACCTGAGATGATCTGGATGTATTGGGATGGGCAAGAAATGCCAGTGAGCAGTGCCTGCAGGGATACTTCTGACCCTCTTCTCCGACTATTTCCGACGAGCGTTGGCGGCTTGGGGGCTTTGCGGGAAGGGACAGGCTGCGATGTGCTTCTTGCATTTCTATTTCAGTCAATCTCAGGTTTGCCTGTGGCATGCGCGAGTCCTTCGAGCCTGAGATCCTCATTGAGGACATGTCCTACGAAACCTTCCACGCGCTGCTCGAGTTCCTGTGCGCTCATGCGCGTTTCTGCTGACACTTCCGTCTTTGCAGATCACGGTGGTGGGCCGATGTGCGCCGTGCAGAGTGTATCGCCAGGTACATTGGCAGGCTCCACGTTTCGCAGGCACAGCAGACCGACGTGTGGCCCTAAATTCAGCAGCACTAGCATGGCGCGTAGCTGCATAGCAAGTCGCCACGTCCACAAGCAGCAACGGAGGTCTGCTTCCTGATGGGCCTCCTTAGGGCAGCTGACCAATTCTGCGTGGATTGTGCCGGCATCCTAAATCTTGCGTTCAAGCAGCACCGTCTGGGTTGGAGCATTCTTCAAGCCACTCAGAGTCATGTTCCAGTTGCCGTACTGGTGCGTACATGGCACTTGAAGCAGAGGCGAACGCGTGATCACGCCTGAAGAGCGTGCATAGGTTTGCCAGACTGCGCTGCGATGGTTTGTAGCTCCCAAAATGAAAACTCCAGTGAATGGGACTGGTCAGCTGTTGGAATTCTCAGATGGAGGTGAAGCTAGCAAACAAGAAATACAGCAACCAGGGGACCGTTGGTGGAGATGCTGAATTGGAATCTCAAGCTTCCATGCCTATTTGTGAGAAGGCTCCTGTAAGCCTACTGCGTGTGGCAGAATTTATCAAGTGGGGCGAGGCAGAGCAAAGTTCAACCAGCATGAGTGTATAGGGCGACAAGTTCTGGGCAGACCCGAAGATATTGACACCAGCCGCACCAAGCGTTCGAGTCAACTTGCCAGGGAGGAGACAAGAAACACCCGAGATTGTGTTGTGCTCTAAAGGTGAAGCAGATGTGCGAGAAACACCTGAGCGCTCTTGTGGACATAGAGAACGTGGAAGGCCCGTGATGTGTCAAGGCAAAAGCGTTCCCAGCTTTCTTCTGCTGTCAGTCTTCCTCCTCGAAGCCGAGCGCTTCCAAGCACTGCAGCTGGTACAGTACTGTGAGTGGAGCCGCACCAAGAAGCCGGCAATTTTGCCGTTCGGCTGTTCAGCTATGAACTCGGTGTTGGCTTTGTCCAAGGTTTAAGCGCCAATTGGAGTACGAGAGCCGACAGGGCCGCGAACTGTGCGCGAATGCTGCCGGTTTTCTTTCCCACCCTTTCCCTTGCTCAGGTGGTGGGAAGGCGCTGGGCTTTCTGCATGCTGGGGGTCTCGTCTCAGTTGGCTTGATGTCCTGGAGGTCTCCCCAGCGGGCCACTGCATGTCCAGCACAGCGCAGCACCTCGGCTGGATGGTAAAGAATGTTGGCCGCACAACGCATCATGATTTCTGCAGGTCTCTGGCCGCTCGGAGGCGGGGTTGGGAGTCGGACTGAGCTGCTGGGCAGGAGTGACCTCTTAATATTCTCTGGCTGTTCTGCGGCTGTAGCTGTCTCACCTC